CTGCTAAGAAGGCAAATGCTGCTTGGGGATGTACAGGTAATCCTCAACTTATGACCACAATTGAGCCCAAAATTGCTAAGTGAAACAGTTGTTAAGTGATTTTTGCCCCATTTTCCAACCTTTCTTGCCACAGTTGTTAAGTGAATCACTGTGGCTGTTAAATTAGTAACACAGCTGTTAAGTGAATCTGGCTTCCCCATTGACTTTGCTTGTCAGAAGGTCACAAAAAGTGATCACATGACCCTGGGACACAGCAACCGTCATAAATATGAATTAGTTGCCAAGTGTATGTATTTTGATCACATGACCATGGGAATGCTGCAATGGTCACAAGTGTGAAAAATAGTCATAAGCAGTGGTGTGATTCAGTCAGTTCGCACCAGTTCGGTAGAACCGGTAGCTACCGGTAGCTAAATTTTGTTGAGTTCGGAGAACCGGCTGAATGCACACTCCTTCCAGAAGTCCATTCTAGGCTTCGGAGGCCTGGAGGAGGCCTCCCAGGCCAAGAAGGACCCGCTGGAAGTGTGCGGATGCTACTTCCAGAAGTCTGTTCTAGGCCTTGGAGGCCCAGGCCTGCATCCATGCAGAGAACCGGTTGTTCTGGTATTTGAATCTCACCACTGGTCATAAGTCACTTTTTCAATGCCGTTCTAACTTTGAACAGTCACTAAATGAACTGTTGTAAGTTGAGGACTACCTGTACTTTGCCTTGACCAGGCCCCACCTACAAAGTGACTTATGACTGCTCTTTGCAACTACGGCCAGTTGGAACAACCCTGCAGTCACATGATCAAAATTCAGGCACTTTGAAACTGGCACGCATTTACAACAATTGCAGGTCTCACAGGATTGCCATTTGCAACCTTCCCCAGCTGGCTTCTGACAAGCAAAGTCAATGGGAAACCGGATTCATTTAAGAAGTGCATGATTCACCTAACCGTAATGATTTGCTTAATAACCGCTGTGCAAATAGTCATAAAAGTTCCAGTCCCGATTATGGTTGTAAATTGAGGAATGTCTGTACTGTTCTTTATTGAAGGTCCTCAAACAGAAGCTGAACAGTCATCTGTCCAATAGTCCTAGCATAACTTGTTCCAAATTACTGGATTAATTAATCTCCCAGATTCCTTCCAACTCTAGAATGCTAGGAAGGGGAAAATGTGAATTCAAGAAATACCTACTAGAGATTAACCTAACAAATTCTGAGGAGGTGATCTAAGAAAACCTTAAGAAAAGTAAGCTGGGCTTCATTCATCAATGACACAATGTTGCTGATATTTCCATTGTGTGTGTGTGTGTGTGTGTGTGTGTACACACACCCCCAATTGTGTTTTCCCAAATCCCACTCTGAATGCCAACTTCGGGAATACTTGAGATCTCAAGCTTTAAGCCTTGCAAACATAAGCTAAATTCAAGCAACTTTTTTATACCCAAAACCTTCCGAATACCACATTTAATCAGAAGCGATGCCAGTCCTATCAGAAGATTAAACCAAAATCATTGTAATTGAAATAAAGAAAATTACAACTGTACAAATTACAACTGTAATTCAAGAGTTTTAAAAAATGAAAATTGCTCTTTTTAAAAAATATGTCTACTTTAAGAAGTTACATAAAAAACACTTACCTGATTTGTACATGAGAAAATCAGAATAAACAGTAAAGGCTGCCTCCACTGGTCCGTTTTTGTAAATCTCAGCCATTATTTCTTTCTCACTGCCAGGGACACTATACGAAGTCATTCCTGGCCAGGGAAAGGGGAAAGTGATCTCTATATTAGAAAGCATTTGAATCGCTTACTTCAAACTTGATGAGTTTTCAAAACTGATGCTAATCGTCATTCAATGAATCAGAGAAGAACACGTTTAAAATAAACATCAATTTATAACAAGAATATAAACTGTCTGATTTAATTTAGTTAAATTTTTTTATGTGAAGTGATATCTAAGTTGTCTGAAAGTCAACAGCCACTTAAGAAACCCTGGTTTACAAATTTTGGCAGTGCCGTATATGAATCCAGCCTGTACAGCACATTATACTTTTTATACTACAGCTGATTTTTGTAGCTGTATTGATTTGTAGTTTAATTATTACATTTATATACCACCCATCTCTGCTACACCATCCTAGAGTGGCAATAGGGAATCTTTAACTTAATTATAAAATTTTAATTATAAACCGATACAGTCCTGAACCATGGTTTCACAGCTTTCAGCCTAATCAATATCCACCAAAGCCTTGAGTACATACCTGGACAGAGAGCTTCAAAAAGTTGCAGATTTGTAAAAGTGTGAAAGAAGGGGAAATTACTAAGTACCTGGGGAGGTACTTAAAATAAAAATGTACAAATAATTTTATTTTCTAAGTGTACAAAAGTACAAATAATGTTACCCTTGCCTACTTATGCTGTTGAAAGGCGAAATGCAACACTTGGCTTGAAAAGGGGCCTCCATCCTGGCTGCAGACTTTACCCAGAATATCCATATGCAAGGCCATGTGCAAAGCTTTGCCTCTACTCCCCCCAATAGGAGCCACTTTGTTTCCTCTTATAAAAAATAATATGTGGCTGCATATGTGACCAACCATAATAATAGCAATTCATACTGATCTTATTGTTTTCTATTTTTTAATTTATATTTCTAACCTTTTACTGCATCGGGAAGTCTATTGTATCTAAAACAGAATATTAAATTTTTATCATTTAAACATTTTGAACTTAAAGCTTGCAGGTTTCTTATAAACCTGAACTTCCAGTTTAATATATGCATTACCATAATGTTTGTCATTTTGGTATGAAGGAAAGTAACCAGCTTCACATTTTTTGATGCATTCAGGGGTGTCACCACCTTCTCCAGTGCATGGAGGGCGAGTCCCATTGACGTGATGCTCACAGGGTGGAATAGAGTATGGCCTACATCCTATTGGATACAATACAGAATAAAACACCATTTGAAAATAATCTTTTATGGGACAGGTGGCTAAAGTCCCTATTCTAAGCTCAAATCAAGGTAAATCATGCTGAACTACAGAGACCGCCTTCTGCCGCAGATTCCCTCCCACAGGCCGGTACGCTCCCACAGAGCGGGCCTCCTCAGGGTGCCGTCGGCCAAGCAATGTCGGCTGGCGACCCCCAGGGGGAGGGCCTTCTCTGTGGGTGCCCCCACCCTCTGGAACGAACTACCCCCCGAGATCCGGACGATTCCGGATCTCTTAACCTTCCGCCGCG